AAAAAAAACTACATTCGAAACGATTAGAGTATGAATATTCTATGAATTCAACGGAAGTTATAATAAATTGTGGCGTTAATGGTTATGACATGAACTTTTTATTAATTAGAAAAATAGAACCTAGTACGAATTCAGTGGATAACATATCTAGGTCAGTTACATGGAAATCAACAACATCAGTACATTCTTTATATTTCATAGTATGATTATCGATCATTTAAAAACCTTACAGCAATGTGAAAGAATGGAGTAGGGTAGGTAAGTAATAATAAAGGTCTTTTCAATTTTAATCCTTGATGGGATTTTCTTGAAAAAAATCTGTGAAATCATATTCAAACTCCATAGTATAGGGGGAGTTTGGGGAATGGTTGCCTTTGGGGTAATAGCAGTTACCCAATAATTCGCCTCTCTTAAAATTAATGGTTTTTCCATCGTCAAATGAATATTCCAACTAAACTATGCAACACTAATTTCGTCGCATTCCAAAATTTTGTCCCTATTAAAATATGAATAACTTTTTTCTGCTTTGAACAATTCGAATTCGGATTACACTGTTCGCTAGCACAGTCCTTCAGCTATAATCTCGTACTTCTCCAACACATGAGGTTCCTCATATAAAATCGCTACAGGGTGTCACCTGAAACTGTGAAAACTTTCGGAATTTTCAAAAGGATCCCAGCAAATGACCAAACTTTTTTTTTCAACTTCGACAGCAGAGGCATAAAGATGATCTCATTACCTAGGGACATTCTTGAAATTGTCTTCTTATATCTTTTATTTACAGAGTGATCTCAAAAATTACTTTTCTGGTTTCGCAGTCATAACTCATTTCTTGTTATCCCGTTTTTAAAATCTCATTTTGAAGCTGGAACTTCAAATGAAGAGATATGAAGATCACTCTGTAAATAAAAGAGATGAGGAGACAATTCGAGAACTGTCCCAAGATAATGAGATCATCTACATGCCACTACTGTCGAAGTTGAATTAAAAAAAGTTTTCTTCATTTGGGATACTTGTGAAATTTCCGATATTTTGCACTGTTACACGTAACACCCTGTAGCGATTTCATGTGAAGAACCTTATGTTTCAAAGAATAACGAGATTATAGCTGAAGAACTGGGCTGGCGAACAGTGTGATCCGAATTCAAATCGTTCAAAGCAGAAAAAAGTTACCTATATAAGTATATATAACGTGTAGAACAAAAAAAAAGTCTTGATAGAAAAAAAAATGCCTGTGGTTCAGTCAGAAATAAAGGGTTTCCACACATATGCCCAACCCTGTATAAAATGCATCCATATGGCATTAGAAAAGTTTGAAATCTGACTTGCGGAGTGAAGAATCGTTTATTCAATTTCTGGTGGCAGATCATCTAATCTAATTCCATTAGAAAACTTGTTGAAGAGCTCTCGATCGATTGATGACGACTGCTGAGATTTTCCAAAGATCTAAATTGAGAAAACTTTTTTCGCGAAACCAATGCGAAAGAAGTTGATGATGGAAGTTACAACTACATTAGGTGTAATTTGTGCCATTCATATAAAATCTCCGCCTAGAAATATTTACTTTAGAAGTGGGTTTGATTCATCAGTTTCGTGCGTAGGGTTTATCACTCGAAATATTGGTGGAAAATCGTTTGAATCTGTTGATTTAGTTGAATCGAAAATAACCAGCTATATCAATCACGTTGCATTATACCAGGTGTCTCAGAACAACGTAGCAAAAATTGACGTGTCAATTCTATCAATTTGGTATTGGTATTGGTATGTGTGGATGGTGACAGATGCGCTGTGACCTTATTAGATCTATTGTGCCCATTGGGGATATTCCCGTCCAACTGGAAAATTGCAAGAGTACAACCAGTTCCTAAAAAAAAGGCAAGAAGACCCTACCTAGCAACTACAGACCGATCGCACTGCTATCTATTATTTCAAAGATCATAGAGAAAGCTATCAACATCGAGCTCATGAAATACCTGAAACATTCAGGTATTATCAACGATAGGCAATATGGCTTCCGTCATCAGAGATCAACTGGTGACCTGCTCGCTTACGTCTCACATATATGGCAGCAATCTATTGAAAAATATGGTGAAACCTTACCGTGGCACTTGATATCTCCAAGGCATTCGATCGAGTCTGGCACCACGGACTCCTCGCCAAGCTTCCATCTTATTGCTTGCCTCCCCAGCTATGTTCTCTGATAGTTAGTTTTCTCTCAAACAGGTCTCTCCATGTAGGGTCGACGGAGTTTCATCTGACTTTCTTATCATGAATACTGGATCAATTCTAGCACCAACAATATTTCTACTCCATATCAACGATTTGTTGGAAGCAACTTCATGTCCAGTACACAGCTTCGCGGATGATAGTACCCTCCATACCGCCTTCTCTTCAACAATTCTCGAATGGGGATCCAATAACTTGGTAGATTTCAATGCAAACAAAACACAAGCATGCCTTTTCTCTAGGAGAGTCGGTCTCACTGTGCCCAACATAAGCTTTTCAGGAGTAACCATACCTTTGAAGACATCCATTTCAATGCTTGGTATTACTATCAGCAATAACCTTCCTTGGGAAAATCACGTGAGATCAATTACTGAAAGTGCATCCAAAAAACTTGGGTTTCTGTTCCGGGCCAGGAGCTATTTCACTTTCAGTCAGCTGCTTATGATCTATAAGGCACAGATCCGACCTGTCCTCGAATACTGGTCCCATAGTAGAATACAGCACCCAAACATACCCTGAAAGTGTTGGAATCTGCCAAAAAAAGGGCAATTCGTCTCATGGGTGATGCCTCGCTCACAAACTCACTCACTTCTCTGGAACACCGTAGAAACGTTGGCGATCTGGCTCTAGTTTATAGATATTTTTATGGGCGATGCTCTTCTGAAATATCAACAACTGTTCCCACCTTGGCAGTCCCCTCGAGATTAACCCGTCGAGTTGAGGCTTCGCACCCCTTCGTGGTCACTTTGGAGATCATCATCAAAAACTCTTTCATCCAACGAACAGCGAGGCTCTGGAACACATTGCCAAGGGAGGTGTTTCCCGAGGCATATAACCTTCAGATATTTGAGAAGAACACCAATTCCTACCTTATTTCCCTTGGTTCTCACGATGTTCTCTCAACATTACAGGATATCCCTTTTGAAGGGAACCAGAACATAAAAAAAATTTGATCCTGATATAAGGTATCACAGTCAAGAATTGAAATTTTGAAATACTATATCTAGTATCTAGACTAGCATATGGATCAATGGATCATGATTTTTGTGGCCAATAACTCAACACAAATGAGGTAGAAACGAACAGAACATGATAATTCTAACATCATACACGAGTAGTATGGAGAAGCTTCATAATGAATTTTGTTATTTATCTCGAAAACCAAGAAAAATATGAAAAAATTGCAGTTAGGAAGAAGTGAGATAATTGATTCAGTCATTTATCAAGATATCAAAATGTGGTCAGTGCCGTACTCTAGGAAAGGTTTCATTAATTTTTATCAAAGAAAATGCGAAATACCAAACTCCCTGTGTATTGATTGAATTGATACATGTTTCGATGCAAATTCACTATAGTGTATTGCCCTACAAATGTCAAGGCAATAGCTTTCAAGGATTTCGAAAAATCAAAGAAAATCTGATAATAAAATTGTTCATGATCGCCTTCTCACAGCTCAACGGTGCATTTTCGTGAGTTGATTTCAATTGGCCAATTATGGTCTCTAGTTCACCCTGTAGAATTTATTGTACGTTGTTCTGGGACACCTTGTATATGAAAGTTGAAATTCCAAAATTGAACGTTGTAAAGACACCCGTTTGTGAAGAAATGACTGGGAAAGAGGTGATACAGTGTTGTATTTCAATGTGTTGTGGCAGAAGAACAAATTATTTCATGAGGGATTATTCGAGATAAATGAGAGTGATATCATTGTGTACTTTTATGAAATATCATAATTCAGTGGTCAGTTGACGTGTCCAAAGGTATATCATTTATTAGGAAATACTGCGAATTAGATAAATTGAGTGAGATTAACGTTCTATAATTCTAGTTCTATTAAAAGGTAACATGACTAGTAATATTATTATTGAAGAGAAAATTCTCAGAATTTGTTTTTCAGTTCTTGAACCGAGGCATGAGGTTCATCGACAATAATGAATTTTGAGAAAGTCGATCGAATGGTTGTACAATACACTCATCGGCAAAAAAAAACCGACCAGCAAAAAAATATCCTAAATTGACCACCTTGTAACATTTTTAATTCTTGTCCGATTCTGGTGAATTTCCGACCGAATTGTTGATCAATATTTCGGAGTGTGAGACTTTATAAATTTCAATTCTGGAAATGAGCTGATGCCTTGATTATTATACAGGGAAAAGCAAAAGTTGTTCTTTCACCCTCAACTTCTTAATGCTATGTGGCAAAGATGAGTGGTTAAACTTAGCTTCATCATGTTTCCGATTGAAGAATGATCCCTTCTCAACACAATGATTTTTGATTGACATTATTATCTCCTTTTCATGAGAGAAGCTACAAGTATTTCAGGAAAGTATGACATTTTTTAATATTTATTCAGAACGATTCTCCAACTTTCTGTTTCATTATTTTATGGTTTGTAGTATGATCCGTTTTTGTCCCTTCTTAACACAATGGTTCTTGATTCACGTCGAAATCTTCTTCACAAGAGAAGATACAAGTGGTTTAGGAAAGTATGGATTTGTTAAATTTTCATGAACAGTAAAAACACAAGACCTTTTTTTTTCATGGTATAAATTCCTCTTGGTAACGAAAAACATTTGCCGATCAGTAACTTTACGAGAAAAACTGACATGAAAAAAATTGCTAGACCGTAGTCAGTAGTGACAAGCGTGTCCACACTCTTTAATGGGCATAAAATGAGGAATTCGAGGCACTCTAGTTTACTTCATTCAAAGGGTTGTAGGGTTCGAAGAAAGTAAAACCAGTTGACAAACACTTTTTTATTTTGATTTCGATATTCATTTCACTCAACGCAATAACATCTTCAACATATACATATACATACACCAGACATATAATATCACCTACACCATTTTGAATTCCAATAGTCAAGCAATATTTTTGAAATACAACAACGACAGTACCTATATCTACATCTAGACGGTAAGACAGCAAATAAGAAGATGCAATAAAAAGAATATCAATACATACAGCTAATAAGTCAAAAGCGACGAACTATAACAGTGCCATTTACAATAGAATGATTATTTCCAAAGAGACAGTTACGATATTATTCACCAGCCAGCCATCACTAGAATGAATATTATTTCTGCTAATTCTGATCAAATTAGAAATGTATTGAAATTCGTGGATTGAGTTGAGTTTGTGAAAATCAATACTTATTTTCAGTACCATAACGGTACCAACGTATTTTCAGACGTGATTTTTCAAGTTACATTCTAGTCTATAGAGCTTAATGTCAGATTGACGAATTTGTAAGACAACAAACTCTTCAAATGAGGGCTAACATTTCAAGTCCCACCAGTTGGCGTTACTTAAGCCTGATGAGGTTCTTCTTTATAAGCGTAAACAATATTGCAAGATAATCTGCAGGCTAATGCTTATTTTTTTTTAAACGTCAATAAAAAAAATGGTGTGGCCTATGTGAAGGAATTAAAGACCTTAAGTTATGGCTGGACTTGATCAGTCTTGCGTTTTTTACTCCCAATGTAGAACTTGTACACTAGCAGAGAAGAAGATATCGTAGTAGGGAGCCAAATAAAACAAGAAGAAGAAGAAGTATTCCTGTCAGTACTGACTACCAACCAGGACCTCACGTCTGGTGGACAACCAAATATATTAGCCCTTATTGACATTGGTCCCTTTCAGGCAACGAAGTACCTTCTAGACGATTCACACAAATCTGAACCCGAACCTTTCTGAATCGGGATCAGATCGCTGAGGCCTGTATCTCACTCCCTCGCAGCTGGTGTCAGTCGAAGAGCAAATTTGGCATTTGCACTGGTCTGCTTCGTAGTATTCGTAGTAGTCGGTACCTTCTTTCACTCCCTCCTCGCAATGCCTCAGGGTGACAAACACCCTGTTGCGCCCGTGGTGGACGCAAACGGGGTGGTTGGATTTCTTGAAAGGGAATCTCCAGTCTGAGATCTGAGATAGAAAAAACTGATTATTGATTATTCATATCATATCATGTTCTATCTTTATCAACTGAACAGGAGAAAATGCTATTGTCTATGTTCAGAAGAATACAAGCAGATTACTCGATTCTTCTCTTCTGGTATTCACCATTGAAATCTGAATATCAAAATGGTAAATTCAAGATTGATTAATGAAAACATCCTGTAACTCATTTTATTGCCAACGTCACCAATTATTGTCACTGAGAACTGAAAAGTGTAAGGACAAATACGAATTTGCGATACAAAAAAAAATTGATATATTCTTTTTATATACTTTTATTTCTTTTCTCCAAACTTTTTCCAATACAAATCGTCACTGACAAGCTAGTGAAGCTCTGATAGGAAAATTCTTTAAACGCAGTGACATTTTGGGGCAAATCATCTGATTTGTCCTTACTACACGTATATTGAAATAATTTTCATATATTATAGAAACGAGGACAGAAATTCCCCAAAAATCTGGAGTAATAAATGTACCCCCTCCTCCTTCAACCTACAGACAGTATTTAACTGATTATTTAGTTTCATCATAGATGTTTCATGTAGGCAGTAGTTCACTGTATTTCTACTACTAAATACGAGTATACTACCTTTCCCTAATTCATAGTAGGTATATAAATTCTTGGAAGAACCTTGGAAAAGTTTGATGGAATAATCGTGAAGTGACCACTCTCCCTTTGAGTATCTGATACTGAATAAATGGTAATTGTTCTTTCCCGGATACAATGATATGTTCTGCTTCATACTGTATTCAGAACTCAACATCAAATCAGGATCACAATGAGCTTATTGTGTAAATATACTGCCCGGTTTTTCTGTAGGATCTGGTGGTTCTGGTAGTTCTGGCGGTTCCGACTGGTAATTCTGGTGGTTTTTGATGAATTTGCCACTAGTTTGAATTACTCCTGATAGAAATTTGGATACATTTCATACATCGTCAGATCACGATTTTGAATAATGAGGTCCAACACAGATCGCTTTCTTTCCAGAAACACATGATAATGAGGATCGATCGTTTTCATGGGGATTTCAAGCAAACGAATAGTAGCGTGAGAGCGAAAAAAGTGTTTTGAATCACTAAATTGGAATTTACGAATGACACAATGATTTGTCATCTCCAATCTCAAAGTTCCGTAAACGATGAAATATATTTATGTGCTCAACGTGATTGATTTATGATAGTTTCGATGTATTCCTTTTATTTCCCAATGAAAGCTTATGGGTGATAAAAATTTGATATCTTGCTGATTCGACTGTAAATAGAGCAGGGGGTAAACATGTTTCTCCAAATGGATTATTATTGTAATATGTAGAGGAAGTGAGATCCGTCAATGGATGTTTGCTGTTTGTACATAGTTTTTTTCATCACTGGAAATGATTCAGGATTACTCTTGAACGAGATGGAATAATTGGATTATCATGTAACTAGGAAGATGAAAATTATTGGAACATCAATATTTTTCATTCTCGTTGCTATCAGTGGAGGGTTTAAAGAAGACATCATGATTTTTCCACTCAGGCAAAAAGGTACCCCTTTTACTACTATTTGACATGAAAATAGTTGTGGTCACGTGACCTAGTGCCAAGTGGGCACCATCAACTTTTTTTTCAAGTATAAAGAGGGGTCACGTGACACCTTGTTTTAAAGGTCTTTCGAATCTCTATCCAACATCGCTTCGTCTGTACAAATCGACCAAGCCGTTTCAAAATGAAAAGCGTTTGAAATTTGCTTCAAATATTATTATTAATGAATAAAAAACCCAAATAACTATTAATTGCAACAGAATTTCAAGTAGGAATTGTAACAAGTGCTCAGACATGCTCGAAATGTTCATCGTTTACTTATTGACACGAAAAACTCTGTTTTGGAATTCAATCCGAACGTGATTTACTGTTTCCGAGGAACATTTCAAACGTTTGTCATTTTGAATCGACTTGACCGATTTGCACCAACAAAGTGGAGTTGGAAAGAGAATCGAAAGGCCTTCAAAACAAGGTACCACGTGACCCCTCTCCATATTTGAAAAAAAAAGTTGATGATGCCCACTTGACACTAGGTCACGTGACCACAACAATCTTCATGCCAGATAGTAGTAAAAGAGGTACTTTTTTGCCTGAATTTCACTCGACCTCGCTAACTTGATCCGTTCAGAGGTTAAAGGGGGGAGAACTTTTTACGTCCTCACTGGTATACAGGGTGTTTCATTGGGAAAGGTAAACAATTCAACTGTGGATAGGGGTCACTGAGGTGATTTCAAAAAACCCATAGTTGATGGGTCTTTGACTTCTTATAACCGAGATCGATACAGGATGTTTCATCAATTTTGTCCATATCTTCATTGTCTCATAACTTTCCAACCAACCTGTATATATTTTTAAAAATTGGTACACTTGCTCAATTCACAAATTCTTTCTGCCAGAAACCAACACCCTATACATTCGAATTTCTAATTTTTTTTGCCATATCTGAAAAGAACATCAAATTTTCTATTCAACGATGTGCTTTTTATTCGTCCACAGACGATTTTTACTATTCATATTATGTGATCAAAATATTATTTTTGCTCATTTTGGGGTACAAAATTGGAATCAGACGAGATTTGTTAATTTTATTACTTCCTATTCAGTATACGTAAGTATTACATTTAGAAGGAGTATTTCATATCGTTCTTTGTTCCAGACTTAGTTGCAGGTCCGTCATCAAAACTATACAGAGCTTTTCACGATAAGCGTTAATTAGATGTTTCTGGCAAACCGGCAAAGTAATGAGACAATGAAGATGTGGAAAAAATTGATGAAACATCCTGTATCTCGGTTATAAGTAGTCAAAGACCCATCAACTATGGGTTTTTTGAAATCACCTCAGTGACCCCTATCCACAGTTGAATTATTTACCTTTCCCAATGAAACACCCTGTATAAAGAAATACATCGATTCTCCCTCCGTTTATTCAGCAGAAAACAACTACTTCCCTGGCTTTATGCCACGACGAATAGAGAATTACATTTATTGAAAATACACGATAAGAATTTGAAAACAAAATCTTCTGAAGTAGAGAATTTGCATTCTTCTTCATATAAAGATACGCATATAATATGATTCTGAATATTCAACAGAAAACAACTACTTTCCTGTCTAATTGCCACGTCGAACATTGAATTATATCTGTTGAACATCCAAAAAGAGAGCAAGAAAAATGAAAATCCTCTGAAATTGAGAGTAGATATATCATCTCTCAAACCGAATAAGATAATATGATGTATTATGATATAAAAATATACCTTAAAACAATTCTGATGACTGTTTTAATTTCTCTTTCACCTCAAAAACTGCATCAATTTCTTCGAATTTGCCTTACCTCATTCGAATCACATCGTCCCCAACAAGCCCAAACGGAAATCTTGTCCCAGCACTGCTTTCCATTGTCGTCCATTTGGGTGGCCAAATAAGTATAGAGCTTCCGGTGACATTTTAACGTTCCTGCAGCGTTCGGCAGCGGCTGGTCCTCTTCTAGGTTGTCTATGGCGTTGAAGATGGCGCTGCTGGCTAGGTTCAAGGCCACACCCAGACACAGGAAGATCTTCAGCATCTTCGGACTGTGGTGTCGTATGAATGTTTCACCACCACTAACCTGAGAAATCACCATTATTCGAGAAATTACCCTAATGAGAGGTAAAACTTCTCAAACCTAGGTTAAATAATGATAAATTGATGAAGAAATTTCATCTAGGTAGATAAAACTGTCAATAGTGTTAAGATGACAAATACGTCAATGTATATCTAGGGACCCTAACCGTAGGTAAACAATCATTACAGATGAGAGCAATTTTTGAAGTTATAAAAAATGTTTAGAATAAGTAATGTATAAATGTCACTACACAAATCATACGTGAATGAGCTGTCACACTGTCATGTGTGTATTAGACCAAGAATTCAAATATCCATGACTTTCGGTATGAAAAAAATGTATATCGCCCTTCGGGACGGATAGATATTGACCTTGAAAGATAGAATAAAAAATATGAATTTCATCTATAACTTTCGAACGGTTGCCATGGTATCAATGATATTCGGGCAGGTAAATAAACTCATACTAATGCTCCTTTCCATACGTAAACGGCTTTTCAGTGAATATGTTTTATACAGGATGGGACGAATTTTTTCCGTTTAATGAAGGCATTTTTGACACAGGTGACAAATTTCACATTTTGCTTCCACCGTTTGATTCCCTTATCTTTAGAACTTGAAAAATGGAAGAGCTCACTGAAGGAAATTGATAGATGTTCAATAATGAACAAACTGAAATACAGACGGCAACAAGTCCAGGTTTCATGAATCGCTGCTAGATAGCATTTATTTCTCATCGCCAATAGATATAGATGAATGTGATGATTTCAATGGGTCCACGAAATTCAGCTACTTTTCATCGAAAATATGGTTTCTGTTTTTTTTTTTCATTTCTTCAAAAATCATTACGATTCATTCTTCATTCCATTGTTATGGACTTCATTACCGAACAGATGATATAATAAATTGTTGATAATGATGATTATCAACAGCAAAGACTGGAATTCAACTTTTTTCCAATATATATGGCTCTCAAGTGAGGATAAATCAGAGTAACTTTTGGAACTCGTCAGTCATGGATACTTACGCATAGGTAAATAAAACTGGAGTTTTTTTTTAATAAACTTTACCAATAGATAATAACTGAAGAAAAAAACATAATCCCACTCCAAATATGACAAAAATGTACTCAATAATTATTGATGGATGAATAAAGTATCGGAAACGTCATATAATCCTTAGAATCATCAACCATTATATCAATTGCTACAGTGAAACTGTCTTGGAGATGTGAGCGTTACCAAAATGATTTATTCAAAGTTGTGAAACCTTATAAGTGGTTTCAAGAAGTAGTAGATTCGATCTAATTCTAATTCATAAGAGAGTTTCACACTTCAAAGCTATCACCTGCAGTAAATACGTCATCATTTTCACTTATCAAATAACTGATATTTTCGACTATGAAGTTGAGAAATAAGTAAGAATAATAAAAATCCTCTAATTTCAGAAACTGTGATTAATAACGTATTTAGGTACCCATTTGGTTTGATGAAAAATTGAACATATTGAGGTTCTGACAAAGTGAATATCTCCTATTATTGGTGCATTGAGAAGGTGTCCCAAACTCGTTAAAAGTACTGTATTGTCTTCCATAAATATGATACACCAACAACTGAACTGTATGCTTTAACAGAAACAAATTCTTTAGAAAAACTGTACAGATTAAATTTCATATATACGTTATCATAAATGAGAAATTGGTATCTACTTTTATTTTGACAAGAAATTTTGAAATTCATAGTCATCAAATTAGACAATATAACTTATTTCACCTTGGTGCTGTTAGTTCTACCAGGTACTACACTCGGACAAACGAGATTCACTCATGCAGCCTTATCTGAGTTCAATAAACTACCAGATGAAATAAAAAACTGCAGAAACATAGATACATCCAAAAAGAAAGTGAAAAACTGATCATTTCTGAGAGAAATGTTTAAAATTTATCAGTAAATTATGTCCTTGACTAGAATTCCTTACTTTGTTCATTGTATTGTTTTGTTTCATTGTGATTTATGGCGATATTCTGATTTGTTCTTTGCCGACACACTATATACTATTTACGGGCATAATGGTTTTACTTGCTACTATACTAATAATGACTGAATTGATCACTGTTATTGCACCCTAATTACACCAAACGACCACCTGTTTGCCAGCGCGCGTCAAAAACAATCGAAGCTGGGGAACCCACCTGTTGTTTCGGGCGATCGAGGAGAACTCCGCGCGGAGTTTCGAACGAAGTTTCGCCGCAACTCCTCCGTCGGTCGGACAGTCAAACTTCCCGATCAGGGGCGCTTGTTATACGGAAACAGTAGAAAGTGGAAGGCGTGTTTTTGGAGAATGCGCAGGCGTCAAGGTAGGAGAAGAGATCGTCTGTTTTGTTTCGGAGTTTGATTGAGGGGTGACGGCTATTTTGCCCAATAGGTACTTAAACTTAAAATTAGTTACAACTATTATTGTGTCCAGTCCAATACTGTGTGGATCATGATATTCTTTTATCAAAGTTGTATAACTATGGAATTAGAGGTGTCTGTCTGGAATGGTTAGAATCATTTATTAGATGTCGGTCTCAATATGTGAGTTTGAAACATCAACAAAATAATATAATTCGTAATATTACATCTGCTAATACCGATATTGATATAGGTGTTCCCCAAGGATCTGTGTTGGGCCCAGTTCTTTTTATTCTATACATCAATGAAATCACAAACTCATTTCCTGATATTAAGATGACAATTTATGCAGATGACACTTCTCTACTGATTTCCAACGAAAACCAAATCGTATTAAAAGAAAACTGTGAGACTGCTCTAGTCCAACTGACTTCCTGGTTCAATCAATTCACCCTTTATTTCAATTCAGACAAAACTAACCTCATAAAATTTCATAGTCATCAGAGGGAATTGATAGATGTAGATATAAATTTAAATAAAACAACCCTTACCTATAAATAACAGATGTAAATTCTTAGGAGTAATCATTGATTCACATTTAGATTGGAAAGAACATTGCAAGATCCTGATTTCCAAACTTTCATCAATCCACTATATGTTCAGAAATCTCAGAGTTGTTTTAACACAGCAACAACTGATAAATTTATACTACGCACAGGTGGAAAGTCGACTGAGGTATGGTATTTGCCTATGGGGAGACTCTACACTGTCGAATAATGTCTTCGTCTCTCAAAAAAAATCATAAGGTGTATTGCTGGTGTGAAAAAAGACTATTCTTGTAGAGAAATCTTCAAAAGATTTGAAATTCTGACTTGTGTAGGCCTCTACGTATTTGAAGTCTGTATTTTTGTGTTCAAAAATAGGGATTTGTTTTTCATTAATAATGATTTTCACGAATACAACACACGTCGTAAGGATGATTTACGAATACCACTCTCTAAACGCGATATTTCATATAAAGCTCCAGCTAGAATTGGCGCAAAGATTTTCAATAGCTTACCCTTCTCTATCAAAAGCTTAAAACATGAACGCACCTTCAAGAGAAACCTCAAGGAATATCTGGTTGAGAAATGTTTATATAGTTGTAATGAATACTTTCAACTCCATATTTTAATTATTAAATGTAAATTTTATTTTTTCATGTACTTTTAGTAGCAAGAAGATGAGTCAATATTTTGTCCATCTTGTATATTATGTATGTACTTAGATTGTGAAAACATGTTACGTAGTTTTATTCAACGTGCTATGTTATTTTCTTATTGTTAATTTATTTTATGAATACCTACCGTACTACTATGCGGTTCCATCCTGACTCTTTCTTATACAATTGTCTGTTGTCTAAAAGAAATAAAGTGATTTGATTTGATTTGAATACATTTTTGATGATAAATACACTGATTAATACCTAATTCAGTAATCATGCAACAAGTCGTAGCGGTTTTTGAAACTGTTTACACTGGGAGCTGACACAACATCACGAGGTAATGCATTCCACTTTGAAAATACTCGATTCGATAGAATTTTTTGTCTTAGTGTGGTTCGAAAATTGTCTTGCTTCAACTTCATGGTGTGGCCTCTCAATCTATCATCGTTCTGTAGATGGAATGAGTTGGATAGGTCAACAGAGAAGTCATCATGCAGAATTCTATACGTCAGAATAGCGTCTCCGCTGGCTCGTCTGTCACTCAGCAAAGGGAGGCTTAGCCGCGATAGCAGTTGTTCATAGGAGAGATCCCTGAAACTTTTAACCATTCGTGTTGCATTGCGTTGGGCTCTTTCCAGAAGTTGAATGTCTTTCACCAGATGAAGAAACCATATCTGTACAGCATATTCAAGGTGTGGACGAACATATGCTTTATGAAGCTGATCGAAGATTCTTGGTTCAGGATGGTGAAAGCATTTGTTGAGGAGGTATGTGCGACTGTTTGCCTTACCGACAGCTGCTGCAACCTGATTGGACACAGATAATTTCTTGTTGAAAATGACTCCTAGGTCGTTATGGTTCTCCACTGCAGAAATGATTTTTTTATCTAGGTGATAGTCTAGTTCTGGGTTAGTGGGGCCAACATGTAGAATAGAGCACTTGTCGATATTCAGAGGAATGTCTAATGCCGCCGAGTTTTTCAATTTTCAGGCATTTTTGCGATTTTAGCAATTTTCAGGAATTTTTGCGATTTTTGCATTTTTCAGGCATTTTTGCGATTTTTTCAATTTTCAGGAATTTTTGCAATTTTCAGTTTTTGCAATTTTCAGGAATTTTTGCAAGTTTCCGACATTTTTGCGATTTTTTCAATTTTCAGGCATTTTTGCGATTTTTTCAATTTTCAGGAATTTTTGCAAGTTTCCGCATTTTTGCGATTTTTTCAATTTTCAGGCATTTTAGCGATTTTTGCAATTTTCAGGAATTTTTGCGATTTTTGCATTTTTCAGGCATTTTTGCGATTTTTTCAATTTTCAGGAATTTTTGCAATTTTCAGGAATTTTTGTGATTTTGCAATTTTCAGGAATTTTTGCGATTTTTACAATTTTCAGGAATTTTTGCGATTTGTTCAATTTTCAGGCATTTTTGCGAATTTTGCAATATTCAGGAATTCTTGCGATTTTTGCATTTTTCAGGCATTTTTGCGATTTTTTCAATTTTCAGGAATTTTTGTGATTTTTGCAATTTTCAGGAATTTTTGCGATTTTTACAAGTTTCAGGAATTTTTGCAATTTTCAGGCATTTTTGCGATTTTTTTCAATTTTCAGGCATTTTTGCGATTTTTGCAATTTTCAGGAATTTTTGCGATTTTTGCAATTTTCAGACATTTTTGCGATTTTTGCAATTTTCAGGAATTTTCGCGATTTTTGCAATTTTCAGGCATTTTTGCGATTTTTGCAATTATCAAGCATTTCTGCGATTTTTTCAATTTCCAGGAATTTTTGCGATTTTTGCAATTTTCAGGAATTTTTGCAATTTTCAGTCATTTTTGTGATTTTTGCAATTTTCAGGAATTTTTGCGATTTTTGCAATTTTCAGGAATCTTTGCGATTTTTGCATTTTTCAGGCATTTTTGCGATTTTTTCAATTTTCAGGAATTTTTGTGATTTTTGCAATTTTCAGGAATTTTTGCGATTTTTGCATTTTTCAGGCATTTTTGCGATTTTTTCAATTTTCAGGAATTTTTTCAATTTTCAGGAATTTTTGCAATTTTCAGGAATTTTTGTGATTTTTGCAATTTTCAGGAATTTTTGCGATTTTTACAATTTTCAGGAATTTTTGCGATTTGTTCAATTTTCAGGCATTTTTGCGAATTTTGCAATATTCAGGAATTCTTGCGATTTTTGCAATTTTCAGGAATTTTTGCAATTTTCAGTCATTTTTGCGATTTTTGCAATTTTCAGGAATTTTTGCAATTTTTGCAATTTTCAGAAATTTTCGCGAGTTTTGCAATTTTCAGGAATTTTTGCGATTTTTGCAAGTTTCCGACATTTTTGCGATTTTTTCAATTTTCAGATATTTCTGCAATTTTCAGGAATTTTTGCAATTTCCAGGAATTTTTGTGATTTTTTCAATTTTCAGGCATTTCTCCGTTTTTTTTAATTTTCAGGAATTTTTGCAAGTTTCCGACATTTTTGCGATTTTTTTCAATTTTCAGGCATTTTTGCGATTTTTGCAATTTTCAGGAATTTTTGCGATTTTTGCATTTTTCAGGCATTTTTGCGATTTTTTCAATTTTCAGGAATTTTTGCAATTTTCAGGAATTTTTGTGATTTTTGCAATTTTCAGGAATTTTTGCAAGTTTCCGACATTTTTGCGATTTTTTCAATTTTCAGGCATTTTTGCGATTTTTTCAATTTTCAGGAATTTTTGCAAGTTTCCGACATTTTTGCGATTTTTTTCAATTTTCAGGCATTTTTGCGATTTTTGCAATTTTCAGGAATTTTTGCGATTTTTGCATTTTTCAGGCATTTTTGCGATTTTTTCAATTTTCAGGAATTTTTTCAATTTTCAGGAATTTTTGTGATTTTTGCAATTTTCAGGAATTTTTGCAAGTTTCCGACATTTTTGCGATTTTTTCAATTTTCAGGCATTTTTTGCGATTTTTTCAATTTTCAGGAATTTTAGCGATTTTTGCAATTTTCAGGAATTTTTGCGATTTTTGCTTTTTTCAGGCATTTTGCGATTTTTTCAATTTTCAGGAATTTTTGCAATTTTCAGGAATTTTTGTGATTTTTGCAATTTTCAGGAATTTTTGCAATTTTCAGTCATTTTTGCGATTTTTGCAATTTTCAGGAATTTTTGCAATTTTTGCAATTTTCAGAAATTTTCGCGATTTTTGCAATTTTCAGGAATTTTTGCGATTTTTGCAAGTTTCCGACATTTTTGCGATTTTTTCAATTTTCAGGCATTTTTGCGATTTTTGCAATTTTCAGGAATTTTTGCGATTTTTGCATTTTTCAGGCATTTTTGCGATTTTTTCAATTTTCAGGAATTTCTGCAATTTTCAGGAATTTTTGCAATTTTCAGGAATTTTTGTGATTTTTTCAATTTTCAGGCATTTTTGCGGTTTTTTCAATTTTCAGGAATTTTTGCAAGTTTCCGACATTTTTGCGATTTTTTCAATTTTCAGGCATTTTTGCGATTTTTGCAATTTTCAGGAATTTTTGCGATTTTTTTCAATTTCCAGGCATTTTTGCGATTTTTTCAATTTTCAGGAATTTTTGCAAGTTTCCGACATTTTTGCGATTTTTTCAATTTTCATGCATTTTTGCGATTTCTGCAATTTTCAGGAATTTTTGCGATTTTTGCATTTTTCAGGCATTTTTGCGATTTTTTCAATTTTCAGGAATTTTTGCAATTTTCAGGAATTTTTGTGATTTTTGCAATTTTCAGGAATTTTTGCAAGTTTCCGACATTTTTGCGATTTTTTCAATTTTCAGGCATTTTTGCGATTTTTTCAATTTTCAGGAATTTTTGCGATTTTTGCAATTTTCAGGAATTTTTGCGATTTTTGCATTTTTCAGGCATTTTTGCGATTTTTTCAATTTTCAGGAATTTTTGCAATTTTCAGGAATTTTTGTGATTTTTGCAATTTTCAGGAATTTTTGCGATTTTTACAATTTTCAGGAATTTTTGCGATTTGTTCAATTCTCAGGCATTTTTGCGAATTTTGCAATATTCAGGAATTTTTGCGATTTTTGCATTTTTCAGGCATTTTTGCGATTTTCTCAATTTTCATGAATTTTTGTGATTTTTGCAATTTTCAGGAATTTTTGCGATTTTTGCAATTTTCAGGCATTTTTGCGATTTTTGCAATTATCAAGCATTTCTGCGATTTTTTCAATTTCCAGGAATTTTTGCGATTTTTTCAATTTTCAGGAATTTTTGCAAGTTTCTGACATTTTTGCGATTTTTTCAATTTTCAGGCATTTTTGCGATTTTTGCAATTTTCAGGAATTTTTGCGATTTTTGCAATTTTCAGACATTTTTGCGATTTTTGCAATTTTCAGTAATTTTTGCGATTCTTGCAATTTTCAGGCATTTTTGCAAGTTTCCGACATTTTTGCGATTTTTTCAATTTTCAGGCATTTTTGCGATTCTTGCAATTTTCAGGAATTTTTGCAATTTTTGCAATTTTCAGGCATTTTTGCGATTTTTGCAATTTTCAGGAATTTTTACAAGTTTCCGACATTTTTGCGATTTTTTCAATTTTCAGGCCATTTTTGCGATTTTTTCAATATTCAGGAATTTTTGCAAGTTTCCGACATTGTTGCGATTTTTTCAATTTTCAGGCATTTTTGCGATTTTTGCAATTTTCAGGAATTTTTGTGATTTTTGCAATTTTCAGGAATTTTTGCGATTTTTACAATTTTCAGGCATTTTTGCGATTTTTTCAATTTTCAGGAATTTTAGCGATTTTTGCAATTTTCAGGAATTTTTGCGATTTTTGCATTTTTCAGGCATTTTTGCGATTTTTTCAATTTTCAGGAATTTTTGCAATTTTCAGGAATTTTTGTGATTTTTGCAATTTTCAGGAATTTTTGCAATTTTCAGTCATTTTTGCGATTTTTGCAATTTTCAGGAATTTTTGCAATTTTTGCAATTTTCAGAAATTTTCGCGATTTTTGCAATTTTCAGGAATTTTTGCGATTTTTGCAAGTTTCCGACATTTTTGCGATTTTTTCAATTTTCAGGCATTTTTGCGATTTTTGCAATTTTCAGGAATTTTTGTGATTTTTGCAATTTTCAGGAATTTTTGCGATTTTTGCAATTTTCAGGCATTTTTGCGATTTTTTCAATTTTCAGGAATTTTAGCGATTTTTGCAATTTTCAAGAATTTTTGCGATTTTTGCATTTTTTCAGGCATTTTTGCGATTTTTTCAATTTTCAGGAATTTTTGCAATTTTCAGGAATTTTTGTGATTTTTGCAATTTTCAGGAATTTTTGCAATTTTCAGTCATTTTTGCGATTTTTGCAATTTTCAGAAATTTTCGCGATTTTTGCAATTTTCAGGAATTTTTGCGATTTTTGCAAGTTTCCGACATTTTTGCGATTTTTTCAATTTTCAGGCATTTTTGCGAATTTTGCAATATTCAGGAATTCTTGCGATTTTTGCAATTTTCAGGAATTTTTGCGATTTTTGCATTTTTCAGGCATTTTTGCGATTTTTTCAATTTTCAGGATTTTCTGCAATTTTCAGGAATTTTTGCAATTTTCAGGAATTTTTTTGATTTTTTCAATTTTCAGGCATTTTTGCGGTTTTTTCAATTTTCAGGAATTTTTGCAAGTTTCCGACATTTTTGCGATTTTTTCAATTTTCAGGCATTTTTGCGATTTTTGCAATTTTCAGGAATTTTTGCGATTTTTTCAATTTCCAGGCATTTTTGCGATTTTTTCAATTCTCAGGAATTTTTGCAAGTTTCCGACATTTTTGCGATTTTTTCAATTTTCATAAATTTTTGCGATTTCTGCACTTTTCAGGAATTTTTGCGATTTTTGCATTTTTCAGGCATTTTTGCGATTTTTTCAATTTTCAGGAATTTTTGCAATTTTCAGGAATTTTTGTGATTTTTGCAATTTTCAGGAATTTTTGCAAGTTCCGACATTTTTGCGATTTTTTCAATTTTCAGGCATTTTTGCGATTTTTTCAATTTTCAGGAATTTTAGCGATTTTTGCAATTTTCAGGAATTTTTGCGATTTTTGCATTTTTCAGGCATTTTTGCGATTTTTTCAATTTTCAGGAATTTTTGCAATTTTCAGGAATTTTTGTGATTTTTGCAATTTTCAGGCATTTTTGCGATTTTTGCAATATCCAGGAATTTTTGCGATTTTTGCATTTTTCAGGCATTTTTGCGATTTTTTCAATTTTCAGGAATTTTTGCAATTTTCAGGAATTTTTGCAATTTTCAGGAATTTTTGTGATTTTTTTCAATTTTCAGGCATTTTTACGGTTTTTTCAATTTTCAGGAATTTTTGCAAGTTTCCGACATTTTTGCGATTTTTTCAATTTTCAGGCATTTTTGCGATTTTTGCAATTTTCAGGAATTTTTGCGATTTTTTCAATTTCCAGGCATTTTTTGCGATTTTTTCAATTCTCAGGAATTTTTGCAAGTTTCCGACATTTTTGCGATTTTTTCAATTTTCATAAATTTTTGCGATTTCTGCACTTTTCAGGAATTTTTGCGATTTTTGCATTTTTCAGGCATTTTTGCGATTTTTTCAATTTTCAGGAATTTTTGCAATTTTCAGAATTTTTGTGATTGTTGCAATTTTCAGGAATTTTTGCATGTTTCCGACATTTTTGCGATTTTTTCAATTTTCAGGCATTTTTGCGATTTTTTCAATTTTCAGGAATTTTAGCGATTTTTGCAATTTTCAGGAATTTTTGCGATTTTTGCATTTTTCAGGCATTTTTGCGATTTTTTCAATTTTCAGGAATTTTTGCAATTTTCAGGAATTTTTGTGATTTTTGCAATTTTCAGGCATTTTTGCGATTTTTTCAATTTTCAGGAATTTCTGCAATTTTCAGGAATTTTTGCAATTTTCAGGAATTTTTTGTGATTTTTTCAATTTTCAGGCATTTTTGCGGTTTTTTCAATTTTCAGGAATTTTTGCAAGTTTCCGACATTTTTGCGATTTTTTCAATTTTCAGGCATTTTTGCGATTTTTGCAATTTTCAGGAATTTTTTGCGATTTTTTCAATTTCCAGGCATTTTTGCGATTTTTTCAATTCTCAGGAATTTTTGCAAGTTTCCGACATTTTTGCGATTTTTTCAATTTTCATAAATTTTTGCGATTCCTGCACTTTTCAGGAATTTTTGCGATTTTTGCATTTTTCAGGCATTTTTGCGATTTTTTCAATTTTCAGGAATTTTTGCAATTTTCAGGAATTTTTGTGATTTTTGCAATTTTCAGGAATTTCTGCAAGTTTCCGACATTTTTTGCGATTTTTTTCAATTTTCAGGCATTTTTGCGATTTTTTCA